AACATGTTTCATTTGTATTTCAAGTCCTAATCCTCAGTTATAAGCACAAAACTGCAAAAGAAATTCCTAATCAGATTTCTAACATAATATTTCAGATATAGTGACAAGAAACAAATACATTTCTTGAATTAGTTATTGAACCTTCAGAATTTCCAATAGAAAATACAAACTCTCTGCTTTCAAAAATATTAATTTTAGATCTGAAAAATGATATGGGACTACAAACACCTTCATAAGTAACCTCATAAGATAAGCATTCATATTCATGTCTTTTAAGATATTTGTTTTTACATAGCTATCTAGTTTCTCTTTGTGCCCATCCTAATTATTTTACAAAAGAAAATAATATTTTTAATATTTAAATAAATAATACATATATAACATTTCACAGTTGATCTCTAGAAAAGTCCTCAGTAGCAAAAGGTATATATCTCAAGAGAGACTTCCACATTCGCAAAGGTATTAAATGTGTTAGTTCGCTAAGGCTGCCACAGAAAAATACCACAAAGTGAGTGGCTTAAACAACAGAAATTTATTTTCTTGTAGTTTTGGAGGCTTTGAATCTAAGATCAATAGGTCAGCAGGGATGGTTTCCCTTGAAGCCTCTCTTTGGCTCCCTTCTTGCTATGTCTTCAGATAGTTTTTCCTCTGTACATGTGCATCCTTGATGCCTCTTTGTAGGTCGAAATTTCCTCTTCTTATAAGAATGCCAGTCAGATTGGTGTAGGGCCCACCCTAATGGCCTATTTTTACTTAATCACCTCTTTAAAGGCCCTGATTCCACATATAGTCATTTCTGATGTTTCAACTTTGAAGTATGACTTTTGGGGAACATAATTCAGCCCACAATAGTAAGTGACAGAACAAGAACACAAATGTAGGTTTGATTTGAAGGTCTCTTGTCTGTATGTGTGTGCGTGCCTGTGTGTGTATATGTGCGTGTGTGTGTGTGGTGTGTTAAAGAAAGTCCATCACAGTCTCTCTATGACAGCAAACATTTTATATTCTTCATGGAGAACAGCTGACTGTGAATGGAAATGAGGTAATATGAGCCAGAGTATCTCAGCTTTGAAAATATTAAGTAGGAGAATGTAATGCAAAATAGCAAGGGATTCTGGGAAGATAGTAACAATGGTGTTACGGTTTTAAGAATCTCCTGAAATTTTCCTGTAAGTACAGGTAGAACAACTATAACAGCACAGCCAAAACCTGACACACAACATCTATAACAAAAGTAAATGATAAACTATCCACAGAAACTACCAAAATTGGAGCAGGCAGGTACAAACTACTGACAGTTCCAAAACCCACATATCACTAGCATCTGTATGAGGGAAAGCAGGATGGGAGGGAAAAGGCAACCAGAGGTCTGATGGGTTTGTGAAATAAGAACCTCAAAACCACAAGGAGTACTTGTTGAAAAGTGAGCAGGTCAACATGAGCACAGCAGCCAAAATTGTGAGGAGGATCACAACAAAACCCGGAGTTATTGGAGCGCTCTGGACTCTGCAAACACTTAAAACTTACGCTGACAAGAGCTTACACTGATGAGAAACTGCTGGGAGTATAAACCAAATTGAAGAAGAAAGGATCAATATGAATAAAGAAAAGTGAGGGTACAAATAAAAGTGGGGATACACGCCAAAAGCACCGTCCATGAGAAAAAGTTGGATTTCATTAAAATTAAGAATGTCTGCTGTGTAAAATATACTAGTAAGAGAATGAGAAGATAAGTCACAGACTGGGAGAAAATATTTGCAACACAGATATCTGATAAATGACTGGTATCCAAAATATTCAAAGTTCTCTTAAGCTCTCTAAGAAAATGAACCACTCAACTAAAAGATAGGCAAAAGATCTGAGTAGACATATGGCAAAGAAGATACACATATGGCAAATAAGAATATTAAAAGATGTTCCACATCATATGTCATCTGGGAAATGCAAATTAAAACAACCATGTATGTTCATGAAAACACACAGAGGAAATACTAAGTGAAAGAAGCCAATCTGAAAAGTTTACATATTGTGATTACAACACAGCATTCTGGAAGAGGCTAAACTATGGACATATAAAGATCCCCAGTTGCCAGGGGGTGGTGGGAGGAATGAATAGGTGAAGCAGAGGAGATTTTTAGGCCAGTGAAATTATTCTGTATGATAGACATTATAATGGTGAATACATGTTATTATACATTTGTCAAAAACCTATAGAATGTACAGCACAAAGAGTGAATCCTAATGATTCACTATTTTGGTCGAAAATGATGGGTAAATGCCAGTTCAGAGATTGTAACAAATGTGCCAAACTGATTTGGGATGTTGATGGTATATGAGTTTGTATGGGGCAGGGGGGGAATGTTGAAACCCTGCACTTTTCGATTCAGTTTTGCTGCAAACTTAAAACTGCTCTAGAAAATAAGGTTTGTTAAAATATGAAAATAATTTAATTTTAAAATTTAAAAAATAAAATTAGGGAAGAAAAAACTAGGAAATCTCAGACACCAAGTTCATATTTTTGATGTTCTGAGAAAATAATAGAATAAAGGGCCCTGGGCACATGATTTAAACAAAAAAACTAAAGCAAATCTATTCTGCAGATTCCATTTCTGGACAAGTTGAGGTAGACTCAATTCTCTATATTCTTCCCACTAAGTACACCAAAAATTCCTAAGTATTATACATTAAATAAATATAAGAAGATTCTAAAGGATGAAGAAAAGAAAAACCAGAGAAGGGCCTGAGGACCTGAAGAGTGACATGGCAGGGAGTTCCCTGAGTTTATTTTTGCCTCCTATATCCTAGATTGGGTGCTAAAGAAGTCAGCAACCCAGAGATACCAATGGGTGCAAAGGAACAAAAGTCCATATGAAGCCTGGTCTTTTTAGTCAAAGGACCAGGATAGGGGCAACCTAGCAAGACAGAAAACTTTAAAGCAATAGCTACTTTTTCCCAGCCAAATACCCTGGAAATTTCTACAGATCCCCATCTCCATTCTTAACAAAGGGCAAGTGTTGAGCCTGGACTTCAACACACTCAGCAGTAATAAAGCTCCCATTGTGTCCCCACTCAGATGGTGGTGGAAGAGGACTACTGGGAAGCTGGAATTTTTATCACCTTCCAGAATTAACATGGTTCTCCCCGCCATGGTATTAGTGGAGGTGAGAATAAGGTTCCCCTACCTTTCCCAACCAAGTTGGTGAGTGAGAAGCCTTAACTCTAATCCCTTCCCAGCAGTAATTAGGCATCCCACCCTTTCCAGAGAGTAAGTGGAGGCTGACTAGAAAACCTGGACTTCCACTCCCAACCTGGCAGTAACAAAGAGGTTCCCTCATATCTCTCCAGTGCAGTAGTAGGGGCAGCCTGCTAAAAAGATTTAAATAAGATCCAAAATGAAAAAAAAAAAAAAAGGAAAATATAACAAATAAATAGAAGGTATTTAGAGAGAACCAAATGGAAATGTTACACCTGAAAATACAAGAACTAAAACAAGAAGCTCAATGGATATTTACTACAGCAGAATGAATATGCAAGAGGCAAGAAATGATCCAATCTGAACAACATAGAGAAAACAGACTGAAAAAAACCTCTTCTTAAGGAACAGAATTCATTTCATATAAAAGTACAAAAGAGACTCAGCGGGTGTCCTCCAAAGCAGCTTCTACCTCCAAAGCAGCTTCTACTCTGCAAGCAACCCCCACAGGGACTGGTGCCACTCCAAAATGACTTCTTCCTTGGGAGAGGGGAAGATAACCACACATACTAGTTGCACCCATAGTCCCAGGAGCCAAAACTTACAGCTGGCCGCACAGAGAAAATGTCCTGTTGATCAGTCCAACTACAGCCTCCCCGGGGCAGACTGGGGACAGACATCTGGTCTGATTGCTGTTGCCACCCAACCAGAAGCCCATGGCAGCTCCAGACTGACCCCTCAATGGCACAAGGATGAAACTCTGCCGCCCAGGTATCCACAACAAGCAAAGTGGGCCATTGCAGCTAACTGGACTAAAGGCAAACACAGCCCAGCCATAATAGTAGGGTGCAAGCAACGCATACAGGACACACCCCTTTATCTGAGAAAGAGGGAGCACTGAACTATGGGCCACCACAGGACCTCTTTTTCATAAGGCCACGACTTTCAAGATCAGGAGACATAGGGACGCCTGGGTGTCAGTTGGTTAAGCAGCTGCCTTTGGCTCAGGTCATGATCCCAGTGTCCTGGGATCGAGTCCCATATCGGGCTCCTTGCTCATCAGGGAGCCTGCTTCTCCCTCTGCCTCTGCCTGCCATTCTGTCTGCCTGTGCTTGCTCTCTCTCCCTCTCTCTCTCTGACAAATAAATAAATTAATTTAAAAAAAAAGATCAGGAGACATAGCTGACTTTTCTAATACACAGAAACAAAGAGAGTTAGACAAAATGAAGAGGAAGAGGAATATGTCACAAAGAAAAGAACAAAACCACAGCAAAACAGCTAAATGAAACAGAGATAAGTAATAGGCATGATAAAGAATTCAAAGTAATGGTCATAAATATAATCTTTGGGCAATAGATTTAAATTAGAGCTCAGTAACAATAAGATATTTAGAAATCCCCAAATATCAGGTAAAAATATACTTCTAACAGATCATCTGGAAAGAAGATGTCACACAGATAATTAGTAAATGCCTGAAACTGAGTGGTAGTAAAACACAATATACCAAAATTTGTGGGATATAGCTAATGTTGTCTTTAAAGAGAAATTTTTAGCTGTAATTGCCTATATCAAGAGGAAAAAAGATCTAAATCAGTTACTTAAAGTTTCCAACCCAAGAAACTAGAAAAAAAAAAGGAATTAGACCCCAAAACGTCAGGGAAATAATAATGAGACCAGGAAACAATAAATAAGAAATTAGACAAACAGTAGAAAAAAAGTTGATTCTTTGAAAAGTTTTAAAAATTCATCAACTTAGCAAGACCATAACTTAAAATAGTTTATTCTGAAATAACAACAACAACTTTACCTTGGCCAATTCTGTAATTTTACCAAAACCAGGCTTCCAAGAGGGAGCTGTGAATAGACAATCTTAAATCCACTTTCATGAAGCTGAGACTCTTCAGGGAAGTCTTCTTCAGAAACAGAGCAGTTATTGTATCTTGAATCAGCATTCATGAAGCAGTACCATGGTTTATTGTGGTCAACTCTGGCTGCATCCTCACTTGACAACAATCTCCATTTCAAACAGCTTTCACTCTCACACTGAACCCATACTTTGTTTACATACATACTGTTTTCTGCTGAGGGATCCATTGCAGTGTTACAATATTCTACTATTATCTTACTATCCAATTTTTCTTTTTCCATAAATGCATTTAATCTGGAAAACAAATAAGAAGAAAAGAATAAAGATTCAAGGATATAAGGAAAGTTCAAGACAAAATCAGAGAAAGAGCTCTTCGATACCTTCTTTGCCCATATCTTCTTTCTCCCACAAAGACTATACATTTTGAACAATTTGTTCCCACCTACCCAGAAACAAAGGAACAAAATAGAAGCATCACTCTAGGCATAAAATGCTCCAAAATTAAAAATAAATTTTTAATAACAAAAATAAAAATAAGTATGACCATTTTTACAGAGAAAACTGAAGGTAAGAAAAGTAATTTGTTTGAGGTCCCAGAGCTAGTATATGGTAGAGTCAGTATTTAAATACAGTAGTTTAGTTCCAAACTCTATGATCTTATCCTCTAAGATTTACTGTCATATATATACATATACATAATCATAAATGACATTTACTGTCATATATAGATGACATATATATATGATGTATTATATGTACACATATGATGTATATTTATGTATATGATATGTACATATATATATATGAAATGACTTGATGACCCCTTTCTTTTTCTAATTGAGGAAAAGCAAATGTAACAAATATTCACCATATGAACATTTGAAATCTACTTTTAAAAACTAATCTTTTGGGCACCTGGGTGGGTGGCTCAGTGGTTTAAAGCCTCTGCTTTTGGCTCAAGTCATGATCCCAGCCAGGGTCCTGGGATCGAGCCCCGCATTGGGCTCTCTGCTCAGCAGGGAGCCTGCTTCCTCCTCTCTCTATGCCTGCTTCTCTGCCTACTTGTGATCTCTGTCTGTCAAATAAATAAAATCTTTAAAAAAAATAATAAAAACTCATCTTTTTCTTATATAATATTGCTTTTTATCCATTAATTCAAGCAGTTTGAAAAAAGCATTTCTGAGAATTTATTATGAAAATTTTACACATATAAAACATTAGAATTGTATGATTAAGCTCCCAACTTCTAGCTTTAATAATAACTGTGTGTATACTAAAAAATAATAAAACCAAAATAAAGTAAAAGTAATTAACAATTTATTTTGCAATAGAAACCTATTTTAAAGAATGACTTCAATATACCACATTCACAAGTTAGCAAAACAATACTATCCAAGTGTAAGCACCATTTAAAGAAGCTTCAATTCATGAGTTAATCATATATTTAGAAACTCACTCATCAAATTCCAGGGTCACCACAAATTGCTTTAGAAATTTGCCAATTTATGCCAATAGCCATAGTTCTCAATTTTTTACCTGTTAATACTACTCGTATGAATGTATCCACAGAAAATGAACTTCAAAGAAACTATCCTACATACACAAAGACCCAACAATATTCACTGAGACACTATTTATCATATCAAAAGAGTGGACAAATCTAAAAACACAAAGAACTGAATCTACTAAAAGAGAAATAAAATTTTGCTAATAATATTCATGCAAAATTTCTGGTTAATTATATAACTGGTGAGGAAATTTATGAGAAGCAAGACTGTAATTTAGATTGCATTTGAAATGACTAGTCCTTTCCTCAATTCTCTGGGCCACTGGACAGTAGCACAAGTTGTTGAGTTTGGATACTGGAGCCAAATTATTTGTGAACTCCTGGCTTTACTGTTCACCAGTTGTCCTTGGGCAAGATATTATTTTGCATTTCACTTCACCTTAGGTATAAGTGTGTGTGTGTGTGTAGCAGTTTTGTTTATTTTCAATCCTTGTGCCATCTTTTATTATACTGCCTAAGAGAGGGATAATATTGAATAGAAGCCAATGATAGGAGACATCTTTTTCTAATTTCAAAGAGAATGATTCTACTATTGGACTATAAAGCCAAATATGTCTATTTTTTTTATAGAGACCATTAAAAAGTTGCCAGAAAATTTTTCCCATCAATTACCAGTTTACTTTGAGGATTTTTTTGTTAATCATGAACGACTGCTGAATTTTATCTACTGCTTTTCTGTATGTGTTGAAGTAAACATAAAGATTGTCTAAGTGTATTAATTGGGTATGTTATAACAATGAATATATTAATGATAAATCATACTTACATTCTAGGTAAACCTCACATGATTGTTATGAGAAATTTTAAACATATATTGCTGTATTTAGCTTATTAATAGTTATTTAAGATTACATATATATTTATTTATAGATAAGATTGGTCTAATAATTTCAATTCTCTTTTTTTTTTGCCTTTGTCTGGTTTTGATATCAAGATTAAAATAGCTTCATAAAATGAGGAACAGAGTGTCTCCTTTTTTTTGAAAGTTCGCCTAAGGGGGGGAATTCCCAATTCTGTCTTATGTTTAAGAATACTATTGTAGGGGCACTTGGGTGGCTCAGTGGGTTAAAGCCTCTGCCTTCGGCTCAGGTCATGGTCTCAGGGTCCTGGGATCGAGCCCCGCATCGGGTTCTCTCTGCTCAGCAGGGAGCCTGCTTCCCCCTCTCTCTCTGCCTGCCTCTCTACTTGTGATCTCTGTCAAATAAATAAATAAAATCTTAAAAAAAAAAAGAATACTATTGTATCTACTATGTTTTTTATTACGTTTCTCTCCTTCACTCTGAAATTTATTTATATCTTCTTTTTCTTCATTTATCTTGTCAGTACTTTTTAAACACAAACAGAATTTGAGTCTTCCCATTTATTTTTTAGAATTCTATTTAATCAATAGCTGCACTTTATTCTTTCCTTCCTCTTCTCTCTTAGGCATTCTCTATTGATCTTATCTTTCTTGTCTTGAGTTGGTGCTTGGTTAATTTATTTTCAGTCTTTTTAAAATTAATTTTAGGGGCACCTGGGTGGCTCAGTGGGTTAAAGCCTCTGCCTTCAGCTCAGGTCATGATCCCAGGCTTGGGATCTAGCCCTGCATCAGGCTCTCCACTCAGCGGGGAGCCTGCTTCCTCCTCTCTCTCTGCCTCCTTGTGATCTCTGTCAAATAAATAAGTAAATTTTTTAAAAAATTAATTTTATTGTGGTAAAAACACTTAACATAAGGTCTACCCTCATAACAAGTTTTCAAGTGTATAATACAATATTGTTGACCATAGGTACAATATTGTAAAGCAGATCTGTATAACTTATTCATCTTGCTTAATTAGAACTTCATGCCTGCTGATTCATAACTTCCCATCTCCCCTTGAGTCCCACTCACCAATTCTAGGAATTTGAATATTTTAGATACCATATATAAATAGATTCATCCAGTATTTGTCTTTCTGTAACTGGCTCATTTTACTTAGCATAGTGGCCCCAACTTGATCCAAATCCAATATTTGCAGACCTTGGAAGGCTCAGTAATATTCCCTTGTAGGCTTTCTTCAACCATCCATCAACAGAAACTTATGTTGTTTCCACATCTTGGTTATTGTGAATAGTGCTGTTATGAACATGGGAGGGCTAATTTGTCTTTGCGATCCTGACTTCAGTTCTCTTGGATCTTTACCCAGAAGTGAGATTGCTGGATCCTGTGGTTGTTCTATTTTTTATTTTTTGAGGAATCCCCCATACTGTTTGCAATAGCAGCTCTATCATTTTGCACTCCTAACAGCTGTGTACAAGATTCCAAATTCTCCATATCCCCGCCAACATTTCTTATCCTTTTTTTGATAATAGCCATCTTAAACAGGTTTGAAGTGATATGTAATTATGGTTTTTATTTGCATTTCTGTGATGATTATTGATGTTGAGGATATTTTCATATATCTGATGGCCATATTTATGTCTTCTTTGGAAAAATGTCTACTCAGGCCCTTTGCTTAAAACCTGATTATTACTATTATTTCTATTAGTTGTAAGATTTCTTTTCATATCCTGGCTTTAACTCCTTATAGAGTATATATTTTGCAAATGCTTCATCCCATTCTATAAGTTGCGTTTTAAATTTGTTGATGGTTTCCTTTGTTGTGCAGAAACATTTTAGTTTTATATAATCTTACCTATTTGGTTTTGGTGTCAGATCCAAAAAAATCACTGACAAGACTAATCTCAATGATCTTTTCCTCTGTGTTTTCTTTAAGAGTTTTACAGTTTCAGGTCCTTAATTTGAATCTTTCGTCCTTTTGAGTTGATTTTTATGTATGGTATGAGATAAGGATCCAGAGTTATTCTTTTGCATATGACAGTCCAATTTTCTAATACCATTTATTGAAGATGCTATCTTTTCCCTATTGTGTATTCTTGGTGACTTTGTAAAAAATTAGTTGACCGTATATATGTGGGTTTATTTCTGGGTTGTTTATTCTCTTCCATTGATTTGTGTGTTTTTATGCCAATATCATACTATTTTGATTACTATAGATTTGAAATATAGTTTGAAATGAGGAGGTAAAATGCCTGCAACTTTGCACTTCTTGCTCAAAATTGCTTTAGCGATTTGGGGTCTTTTATGATTCCATATGAATTTTATGCCTACTTTTTTCTATTCTGTAAAAAATGCCATTTGAATTTTGATAAAGATGGAATTGAATGTGTGGATCACTTTGTGTACTAGGGATATATTAAGACTATTAATTCTTTCAATCCATAAACATGAGATATCTTGCCATTTATCTATGTCTTTTTCAGTTTCTTCAGAAATGTTTTGTAATTTCCATTGTACAGATCTTTTACCTCCTTTATTTATTCTTACACATTTTATTCCTTTTGATGTAATTAGAAATGGGATTGTTAATTTCTTTTTCAGATAGTTTGTTGTTAGTGCATAAAAATGCAATCAGATTTTGATTTTGTAGCCTGCAACTTTACTAAGTTCATTGGAGTCTTTAGGATTTTCTATTAAGATAATATGTTCTACAAACAAAGACAATTTTACTTTTTCCTTTCTGATATGGATGCCTTTTATTTCTTTTTCTTGCCTAATTGCGCTGGCTAGGGTTCCCAGTACTAAATTGAATAGAAGTGATGAGAGTGGACACCTTTGTCTTGTCTCTGATGATAGTATGTTAGTTGTAAACTTGTTATATAAGACCTTTTATTTTTTTGAGATACATTCTTTCTATA